GAATATGATGATTAGGGAAAAGGATGAGGAAGACGAAAAAAAGGAATCTTGTCGTTGTGGAGATCAACCGCTTGAGTTCCCCAACTAGCGGAAACTACTTTTTTCTTTTTCTTTTGTTTTAATTAATGACATTGAGAATGTAATATAACCAGCGTGGCATCATTTGAATTTTGGACCCAATAAATAAATTGCGAGCCTAATCTGTCAAATGCTACTGAAATTAACCAATTTCTTCATTTTTCTATTTAAACTATTATCTAACTAATCTCATCGTATATATATTGTATGTATATTTTGTTTGGATTAGTATTTTTCTGAATCATAGAAATACTATATTAAAAATTGTGTTTGAGTACTAAAAGAAGAGTTTAAACACCTAAAATTGACGAATAAAATAATTGAGCACGTTAAAAAAATTGATTAAAATAATTTGTCCGTATCAATAATTTAATAATAACAACAAAAGCTTAAAAAATTATTTACACAATTGAGATGAAAGAGAATAAAAGCTCTAAAGGATATATTTCATGCATGTAATACAAAGAAATAATTTTTTAAAATAAAGGTATAATTACAATATACAGTATATATAGTTAAAAAAATGTGGTCAATTATTTTATTCAATCATTAGAAATGCCTGAAAACTATTTTTACCTTTTAATTTTATAAATTAGATTTGTTTATTCTATAGGTAAGTCCATAATATAAAGTTAAAAAAGAAAAAATTATAATTTTAAAAAATAAAGATTGATAACTTAGAAGGTAAAATAATATATGGTCATCGAAAGTTTAAGAAATCTCGTTGAGTGTTACTCCCTCTGGCTCACTTTAACTGATTTTTTTTTATGATCCATAATATTTGATTTTTTCAAATATCAAGAAATAATTAACTTCTTTTTTTCCAAAATTGCCTTTGGAGTAAAGAGTCTATGAGTGTTGTTATATTTTCAATGCACAAATTAAGGTTAATATGGTCAATTTTATTGTTAATTAATGTTAAAAGGTGAATTCTTTAATACGTGTGAAAATAGCTAAAAATCAAATAAAGTGGATCGGAAGAAGTATAGGAATAGTTAAGATAATTGAGTAGTAACGTACTCCTTTTCTGAACCATCCAAAAGGAATTTTTTTCAATGGTCACGAACTTCAAATTCCAAGTATATTAATTAACTCTTTAGTAAATGTATGAATTGCTTTACCACAAACAAAACTAATTACCATAACTTTTTAGCACTGGATTCGACATGCAGCAATTAATTGGATGAAGCTGATATGCAAAAATCTTCAAAAAACCATAGGTGAGATACTTGTTCAAACGCCTACTTCATAATTTACCAAAATTTCAAGTTACAATCTTACTTATTTTATGTACTTATTCTGCCTCTTCAGCAGTAAGAACAAGCAATGAGTACAAGAATCACAGAAGGAAAAAAGTTATAAACCAAATCAACAATTTTGACTAACTTCCTATTGCTATGGGGATACATACAGCAAACAAAACTGCATTTCTAAGCATTTCTCACTATTTGCTTTTCTTCTGAATATTCTCAACTCTGATATTTCTTGTTCTAAATGCACCTCAAAAATGAAGCAAAAACTAGCTTCAACTAGTGTAGAAAGCTCTTCCTTGCACTGGATTAAGTGAATCCGTTCTTTTTCATGAATTAAACAGACTGTACTCAACGGTATTATGCTGTTCTTGTTTTTCGTTCAAAAATGGAAGACTCCCCGGATCTCTCTCCTCCAGCAGTAGACTTGTGGGTGTATTTTGCGGATAGTGGCTCAGGATTAAGTCGATTTCATCTCCATTGATTTCTTTGTGATTCAGAAGAACCTATAGGATAAACATGCACATGAATCAATTATCTCAGCACCTTGTTTAACTAAACTATACAAAATAATTTGGACCTAAGTAACTTTTAATCAATACACTTGGTGGCACCTTTTTCTATAAGAAGCATTTTTAAACATAAAGTTTTTATTTAATTTCTTTTGACTTGGAAGTTTTTTTTTAAAGGTCTGCAAACTTCAATGATGGACCTACAGAGATACTCGTTCGACATGTCAAGAAGTACCTTCACTGTTTTGAGCAAAGCAGCATCGTGCTGCCTAAGCAGAGAGACGGTCTTCCCGTACATATCACGTATGAGCTCTTCTGTCTTCTTAGCAACATCATCATCCAAATCAAAGTTGGTAGGAGGCTCAATTAAGTCATAATCATCATATAGCGATCCTTCAAAGTCAAGCCGTGGGCCCACAAACCTCACTTTCTTTCTCCAGGGGGGAGGTTCTCCGTGTATGGCCATTGGATTTTCCATATTCCATCTGTTAAAAGGACGAAAGTCACAGCTCTAGCAAATACTGCAATACAAATATAATTACAACTAATGAAAAACGTACATTGTGATTATCTTACGAGCAAGCCAAGACGCATCAGCAAGGTAGTTTACAGATGCTCTTGAAGTATCACGTCCGTAAATGACTTCTTCAGCAGCTCTCCCTCCAAGAAATACCTTTCCGAAGATGTGCATAAGGCAACCATCAGTTTTGCATATTGGAATAAAGAGCAAGCACGAATCAGCATAATAACTTTAAAATTAGTACCTGAAGGCGGTGAAGCAACTGTGGTAGCCGCTCAAACATGTACGACTCATCATCAAGACGGTTGAACACAACTTGGGACAGGGTCTGCATTGCATCACTTCTAAATTTCAGTTATCAGAGGAAAGAACGAACATTTTTTAGATGAATTCTCTAGTAAAAATGTACACGAGACACTCAATACAAATTCAAGTTTGTTAACAAAATGGACCTCGGGTTTTACTCAATCACAAAAGCTAACCCAAGCAGTGAGCATCATCCAAGACCATAGAAGGAGACTTAGACCATATAAAGAGACTGAACTACAAACCATACACTTAACCGATGTGTGATCTAACACCCTCCAACACGCCCAGGACTGGACATCTGGAGTGTGATATAAAATATGGGTAGCCCAACACTGGTAAGGCCAAAATAGAGGAAGGACTGGCTCTAATACCATGTTAAGACGATAACCATGGACCTAAGTCTACCCCCAAAAACTAGCTCAAGTGGTGAGGATTGTCCATTACAGTCCATGCACTTAAATCGATACAGGATTCTAACAAAGCCGTATCCTAGGAATATAGAACTCAATGAGCTAATATAGAATGCAGGCAAGATATACATGAAATATCATTTTGGTTACAGTGTCAGGAACAAGAAAGAGAAAAGGTATAATACAAGAAAAGGCAAGGTGAAAAAAAGTTGATATTCAAAGACGGAGCAACTAGAGAATAAACCAAACCTGGCCACGTGGATTGATAGATATTCTGTCACAGCGCTCAACGTTTGCATTCTCATAATGCCTTAAAAGGTGAGAAGTCAATGCAGTCCCCACTTCAGTAACAGCTCGACGACACTGTCCCTGATGACCCAACTCAACCCCAACCCGCTTAGGTCCTACCGTAAGTCGGTCAACTGCATCATCCATATCTGAATGAAGAATTGAATTATGCCCTCTCCTGACTGCTACCAGAGCAGCCTCCTGGAGAAGCTGAGCTAGCTTTGCACCTGACCATCCTGAAATGCAAGACCACCATTTAAGAAAGACTATGGCTTGAAGATGATCTCTTACGAACTAAAAGGAATAAAAGTTGAATACCAGGTAAATTTTGGGCATAACTAGCCAAATCAACAGTATCTGATAATTTAACTTTGCGTGCATGTACTTTCAAAATGTCCAATCTTCCTTTTGCATTGGGAGGCCGAATTCTTATCTGAAAGAAAGATATGTAAAATAAAGAAGTGAGGAATAAAGACCAAATAGAGAGTGTAAAGAAAATGGACGATTTTTAACTGACTCATAATCTCTTATAAGCTGTTGTAACTTGTGATGCTAATATTTTGTTCAGGGTGCTTATCCCTTATAGAATCTACAGAGTATAATTGGTGTCCAACATAATAACAGCATTTGACAAGTTGCCTGAAACGAAGAATGATTCCTACTTTGCAAGTCAAACAATATTTCGCCCTTAAACGACTATTAAGATTCAAAAGCCCAAACATGGTGGCCCCCTCCAAGGACTTTGTAAGGAAATTTGCAGTACGCTAGGCATCACATAGAAGAAAATAATCACATTCTGTATTCCAGTTTGATATGGCATCATAACACTTCAATCTTCTTTTTTTTTTTTGGTTTGATTAGTTTTTATCATACTCCTTCTTATCCAGCATATGGAAACATCTATAAAGGAAGTCGAGAAATTATGAATAGAAGCCTACTATAAATATGGAAAAAGTTGTCTGCCTCCCCACAACCAATATAAGTGCACACACAGAGAACCACATATAGAGTGATTCAAGACATGAGGAGCTGAGACCATAAAGAATCTAATTCAATAGGAGATACAAACCTTGCGATCAAATCTACCAGGACGAAGAAGAGCGGGATCTAATAAATCCCTTCGATTTGTGGCTCCCAAGAATATAACGCCTTTACCAGTATCAAATCCATCAAGTTCGATCAATAACTGGTTCAGAGTAGTTTCCCTTTCTTGAGTTGCCGCATTATAGAGGTGGTCAGTTGATTCACTAAATATTCCTTGACGCCTGTTTATTAGAATACTATTTTCAGAAACTATAACCGCTGCACATGTATACAGGTCTTTTAAGAACAACAATGACTATCTCTTCAAAAAAAGAATATCTAGACAGCCACAGAACAGATTAGCATTGTCCATAACATGAAATTAATATATTCAGGTTCAAAAGTCCAATTTTAATAGTTCTACCACTAGCTAAAAAGGGGCTACGATAGGAGAAACACCCAGATGCTCAGCTCCAGAATATCCATGGGATGAGCATACCATGGTTTATAAT